AGGGAAGGGGCATGGGTAGGGGCTGATCCAGACCCCCACAGTGAGGGAGCAGTGGGGCTGGGGCAAGGGTTGGCATTGCACAGATGGGGTGAGATGTGGGATGGAGCTGTGAGCAGCTCGTCTGGGGGGTGCAGGGAGATGTGGTGGGGGAGCTCCCACCACTCTGCGGACCCCTGGGGGAAGCATGGGAGGAGCATGTGCCCCCCAGATCTATGCGGGCAGTGAGGGTAGGCTGCTGTTGCAGGCAGAGGCTGGCTGCAGGCTCTTCCCAGTGTAGGGGTTGGGTTGGGGTGGGATGGGATGGGCGGCGCTGGTGCTGGGAGGGAGGCTCCGGGGAGCTATGGGGAACTTCGGGGTGGCTGCAGAATTCCTGTAGCACCCCTCCCAGCGCTGCTGTTGCTGCCTACCCTGAGCGCAGCTCTGGCTCAATCCCCGTGCCAGGAAGAGCCCAGCATTGCCCCCAGCGGCAGCCTTCCCTCGCCCTGCATGCAGATCTGGGGGGCAGGCGCCCCCCATGCCTCCCCTGGGGGTGTGCCAAGTGGTGGGAGATGCCCCCCTGCATCCTCTGGATGAGCTGCTCATGGCTCTGTCCTGCACCCCATCCTGCCCTGCCCCAACTTGGCAGCACCTACCCCTGCCCCATTTCCTCTTTTACCATGAGGGCCTCGATGTGCTCCCTCTCCCCCATGCCCCTTTCCCCTATCAGACTTGCCAGCTGGATGCTGTATGTATGCTGCAGCTGCTTGCATGTACATGGCATTTATCGGCAACGTTATCGGCCACAGCTAAAAAAAAGTCAATTGCCAATAATGTAAATATTTCTTTTATTGGTGTTGATATGATATGGAGCAGTGTATCATTGCACCTCTATAAATCCTTTAAAAAAATATGGTGCCACCTGAGACTAGAACTGTATTCCATAATGTTTCAGAACTTGGGATTTTTCTTGACCTCTTAAATAGAAAATTATTCTATGTTCATATTCAGTAAGAAACCCAGTAGCTTTACTGTTTTTGGAGTAATAAATGGCTTGGATCACGGCACAAAATTTTAAGGAAGTAAAAATGAAATTGAATGGTGTGTCATTTCATTATGTTTTAATTCTGAGCTTCCTTTGCTATTATCATGCTGTAAGTTCATGGAAATACATTAATTCAATAGATAGTCAGGAAAGAAAGTTATAGCTGTTTATTTCTACAGCATAGAAATATAATGCACTTATTAACTACAAACATAATTCTCATCTAAATGAGCTATTGCCCTGATATTACTGTAGAGCAGGGGTACGCAGTGTTTTTTTGGCCAGAGTGCTGAAAAACTTCACAATGCCTACCTTGGAAGGTGCTGGAGTGCCAACATGCCAGAAAAACAAAATGAGGGCAGGGGGTGCAAGGCAGGATGCCCTGCTTGTGCCCCTGCCCCCCCAGCCCAGGCTCTGTGGCTGTCAGCAGCTACCCTGGCTCTGGGTAGCTGCTGGAGCTTGGGCTGCTGCCAGCAGGGCTTGTAGCATCCCAGCTGCCTGCTGGGAGCAGCCCGGACTCATGGCTGTCAGCAGCTATCCAGAGCTGGGGCTGGCTGCAGCCAGGAGGCTGTAAACAGCTATGTCAGTCTCTGGAGCCCTGGCATCAGCTCTGTACTGGTACTGGCAGCGCAACCCTAGTCTCTCCCCCACTCCCAGCACAGAGCTGGTGACTGGGCTCCGGAGCCCAGCGCAGCTGTTTGTAGTCTGCCTGGGCGCTGGGAAGCTGCAGCAAGCAAGCAGCGGGCAGGCTGCAAACAGCTGCGCCGGGCTCCACAGCTCCGGCATCAGCTCCGTGCTGGTGGTGACTGCACACTCATTCCCAAATAGAAATGTGCTCTGAAAACATTAAAATATAATTTGCTTATAGTAAGTAATTTACTTACAAGCTTCAATGGATTTGGAGTGACTGCTAGCATATTAATATGCCCTGAACCAAATCCAAAGGTCTATACCTGGAACTGGAAAACAAGCTGAATGATTTATTTTCTTTAAACGGGTTGTTAAATTTTATTAAGATTTATTATAAGTCTGGATTGATTCTCTAGGCAAATTTGCCCTTGGGCTCCTCCCCTACCTCCTCTCACTTTGAGAGTCCGGGCCCTCAATCCAGTGCTAACAAAAGAATAAAGGTGGGGAATGGAAAATGAGACTTCAGGAGAAAAACTACTTCTCTGTCTGCCTCAAATGCTAGGATGTCCTTTGGCAGCAATTTGAAGACTAATATATAGACATAATGTTCCAACACTGGTCAGTATTTGTTAATGTTATCTCTGCTTACTGCAGTACCAGCTTCTATGATTTTAGTGTTTGTGCTGAATTTCTAATAATATAAGCACCCATCAATGAAAACAATATGATAGCTTCGTGTTACATGCCATGTGCCTGTATATTTGCAACCTTTCTTGTCAAACCTGTCCTCAGCGTTAATTCTTTACTTCTTTCTCGTGGTTTTCTGAGCGGCAGTCTCATTATCCATTCATCTTTCTCACTTAGACTCTACATTTATCTTTTACACTATCAACTGCTTCTGCCTATCTGTAGTTGTAACAGATTTTTGTCCTTTGCTGCGATTACAAGCAACTTTGACTCTTAAGGATCCATTTACATATGTGCTTTTACAAGGATTATGTAAGATGCGTGTAAGCGTGTAATGATGGTGTACACGAACTATTCAGACTGATAACTGCACTGTGTGCACTTTCATGCCTTTCTGCTGGGAAAATGGAAGGCACTTAAGCTGTTATTTCCTGCAATAGTATTTTTGGCATGTTGTTAGAAATTATATGAGTGCAAGACAAAATATTTTTCTATGAAAAGTTACTTTTTTGCATTATAAACTACTATCTATGTGAAGGTGTTAGAAGGCAGGCAGGTGGCTAGAACTAGTTAAGGAGGGGATGAGACTACCTTAAAACATTGGTTTCCTTTTTCTTTTTGACTCTAACTATTGTAATAATTATATATCTTATTTTACAATGTTCCAGGTCTCCAGACACAACCAGGCTTTGATCAAAAGACAACTATTAGGTCCAGGAAGTCAAGTATGTAGATACTTTTCTGCCTCTTTGTTTACCTATATACAAAATGTATGCTATCTCTTTCTGGTTGAACAAAATTCTGGGCTCCTGAACATCTTTGGACATATTTTCATTACTCACAATTTTATGAAAAACTGCTAAGACAGCAAAGGATTCATGATTTACACTGTGAAGAAAATGGATAAGAAAGAATTCAGACATGTTTGGGCAGTTGAATGGGATGTTTGCTGGCCTGAAAGAGTGCATCCAGACGAGTGTAGATGTTTGGTTCCCTGGGGACACCCATGACACGCACGCTTTGGCGCACAGCAAGTTACCCTGGGGGTGGTAGGGGAGGCTGGGGCCAGCATTGGGCTGGCCCCAGCAGGCTTACCTGGGGGCCTCCTGGGGCTGTAGCTGTGGCGATCCTGCCGGGCAGGGCTTGGCTACCAGCTACAGCACAGCTTCAGGTGGCCTGGTGTCTGTCTTCAGAAGTGCAAGCTGTCTGAGCACGTGCTGCTCCAGTTTTTTTTTCTTTGGGTTTTTTTTTTTACCCCTGGATATCCAGGGGACAAAAAAAAAAAACAGAGCAGTGTGTACACGGGGAGCGTGCCCATGCAGCATGGGGAATGCCTGGCTGTGGTATGTGGCACTACAGACGTGTTTGTGGCACCATGTACCACATGGCCATGCACGTCTGGACACACCTAAAGAATTGTGAAAATCTCATGTGAAATTGTGAAAATCTCATCTTTGAAGTCAATTTAGGCTTGACCTTGAACTTTGATGAAACGCAAAGAGAAATTTTGAATAACAATTTTGCTACCTTAGCGATTGGACTGGGGTTATAGCAACTTCCTCATGCCTCTCTAGTGAGACCATTCTGACTCAGCGGTGTTCTTAGTGAGGCAAGTGTGTTAGATTTTAGTCTTGCTGCATGCTTTACTTGTAAAATTTGTTCCTACGAAAACAAGAAACCAGACTGAGTTTAGAGCTAAAATCAGTTTATTTCTGTGACTTGCCTTCCTTTCACTAATAAACATATCATGAGTCTGTCATTAATTTTCTTTCAATCTTTTCAACAGATGAAGCTGAATATAGAGATTCATCCAGTGTACACAAGCAGGTTCAATCTGCAACTAAAAGTAAGACTTCTACCTCAGATCCGTTGAATGTTTGTTTGTATTTAATCATTTTCATAACCCTGCTAAAACTAGATCTTGAAGAACCTAAACCTGGGGGCCAATTTGATTTGTTTTAAGATTTATCTTTTTGACTTGTGTGCTTATTTGATTATAATATGGGAGTCATTTTTCTTCTTTTCTTTTCTTTTTCTTAGAATTGTCTATGTCTTATTACACTAGTTTTTAATAAAATAATTTAAATGGAAGTATAAAATTCTTTTTCAACAGTTAACTTTATCCATACTGCAGAAATAACTCTTCTCTCTCCACATCCTTTCCCACTGTCCTTTTTTTGTGCAGTGCCTGGTGGACAGTCGAGTAACCAGTGGTCTTGGATGTGGATTCTGGTAGTTGTGGCTTTATTCACTATTGGCCTGTGTTCTATGTGGGTGACTCAATCCTCCAAGATTTTGCCAATTAAAGATTCTCCAATTCTGCGAATGTTCCAGGGTGAGATGAAAAAAATTAAGAATGTCTACCAAAATCAGGATGAAAAGCTGTGGAAGAGGATACAACTGTTCCTTGAGAAACGTCTCAATAATTCCCATTCCCATTCGGAGCCGGCAATCTTATTGCTTACAGCTGCCCAAGAAGCTAAAAGTGCTCTGAAGTGTTTAAGTAACAAGATTGCAGAAGCCTACTCCTCCTCCCTGAGCACTGATACAATTGAGATTGATTGTGCAAGTACAGTGTCACAGGACAGCGATATGGCAAAGCTGGATGTAGATAAACTGCTGAGCTCTGGTTTTGAGAGTGGCAAGAAGGCAGCAGTGGTGCATCAGTTTGAATTGCTGCCTGCAGGATCCACCCTGATCTTTTATAAGTACTGTGATCATGAAAATGCAGCCTTTAAGGATGTGACTCTTCTGTTAACTGTCCTTTTGGATGAGGAGTCACTGGGAAAGAATCTCAGCCTGCGGGATGTCGAGGAGAAAGTGCGTGACTTTCTCTGGGCCAAATTCACCAATTCAGATTCTCCCAGCCCCTATAAACACATGGACACAGATAAGCTGAGTGGACTGTGGAGTCGTATATCCCATTTGGTTCTACCTGTTTGGCCAGAAAGTGCTCTCTCTCAGAGCTGCTGATCTTAAGTAAAATCAGGTGTGGAAAAAAAGGGAGATGAAAACAATTGTGGTCACTGGGCAGGGTAGAACTTGTGCAGCTGCTGAGCTAAGGCAGTACAACAGTGTTTGAGCACAGACCAGTAAAATATTCTTTTTAAAGGAACTGGGGCTCCTGTAGGTAAGTGGAGAGTGTAATGGTGGAACATAGTTTTTGATAAATTGGACTACAAGTGATTTATTGGGGGCTGGTGCTCTGTAGATGGAAGTTTTTTGTTTTTTTTTAACTGTATATGGCAATCTCGGTATCTTGGTATAGTAGACTAATTACACTCTGGGAAATCTTCTATGCTAGGAAGTAGTATTGACATTTGTTTATGACAATGTAACGTAACTAATGAATTTGCAGACTCATTGACCAAAATAGATTTCCCTTGTCCTTCAGGCCAAATCTTATTATAGTGTTTAATGAGGCTGCATCCAAGCGTAGGCTTTCTTTTGTTCCAGCTAACTGTGGCTTGGGTATCAGTTACCTTTTGTGGTTCTACCATTCTAAAAAGATCTAAAAAATTTTCTGGTTCAGAGCAGACGTCTCAAAATGAAGATGTAAAAGGCTTACTTAAACAATTACAAAACAATTCTAGAGAGTTAGAGAAACTGAGATGAAGTGATTGCTTCAAACATCCATCAACAGGTCAGTTCAGAAATAACCCATCAGTGTATCTACCCATCACAATTTTTAAGGCTCAGAACGTGATACAGAACATAGGAGAAATTATAAATGCTGGTCCAGTGCATGCTAAAATGCCTAAGAAGTACAAATTGTGAGTAGGTTATTTTGGACAAGTCAAGAGGTTTTATTAGAAAGTCGAGAGTATTTTTTCACTGACAAAATGTGCATTTATTACTGTTTGTTAATGTGATATCATGGTCCTGTAAAGATACCTCTTCCAGATGTGTGCAGAAAACCTGTTGTTTCCTATTTATGTTTTTGCAAAAAAAAAGTAGTTTGCTTTGTTTAGCACATTGTATAGAGTGCCTCATGTAAAAAATCCCTGAAATCTACCACATACTAAAACTATATTAATATACTTGTATTGTAAATACAGAGAGGAACTGCCATACTTTCTCTCTGCTGTTAGTTTCCTTGACTCTGCCAAATTATTTATCATTCCTTATGTTTGAAGAATGCACAAAGAGACGATCCAAATTTATGGCATATTTTCTTATAATGGCTGCCAAGTTTGTGGTACTTTTAAAATTGCATCCTTTACTTGTGAGCTTCCCTATGCTCCCCTGTTATACAAATATATCAGGCTTTATAAACAGGAAAACATCCTATAGGAGGCTTCAGGGCCACTAGGTATCTGTTCTGAGACTAAGAACACGAAAGGTTCCGTTTGTGATCTGGAATAGGCTGAATTCACCATGAATGTAAATGCAGTTCCATGGACTTGGAATTATGTTTCCTATTTTTGTAAGAACTGGAAGCTGACAGCTAATTTGTTTTATGTGGAGGTACTTAACAAGTAAAGAGGTATGGAAGTGCTACAATTTTAAATGCATAAAATAGCTCAGGAAGAAGAGAGACTTTTTAAATTTTACGAACATTTCACTGTCTGAATGCTTCTTTTAAACTGATGTGAATTATTATATTGCTTTGAAATAATGACTGCAAATGATTTAAACTATATTTTAGTAATTGTTAAAAAATAAATCTGCTTATTTGTTTTATAAATCCTATTTGCATTATCATTTGCTCTAAGCTTGATTTTCTTTTTCTTTTTTTAAACCCAACATGATTGGATTTTGTTTGTACTTAGAGATTGGAAAATGTTGTCTTTTACCTCCTGAAAATCTGTTTGAAATCAGTCTGAAACTTAAATTTTGGCAATGGTTTTAAAATATACCTAACTCCAGAGGATAGACTGCTGCATAAGTTCCTGGACTGAATCTATTTGGTGAACTTTTTTTTTTTTTTGCTGCTCCTGCCCTGTTTCTTTTGAAGATGCTGAATTGTGCTATCTTGACCTGAGTCGCAGCTAAAGGCTAGATCCTGTTCCCCCTATTAGTACCCTGCTTGAGTACCTTGAGGGAGGGTAGGGGGGCAGTGCAACTAATGCAAAAAGGGGTGAGTTGTACTCTTTGCTGCTTTTTGGTGACTTATTTTTAAGGTGGAGATGGCAGTAGGTTACAAATGTAGACTGATTTAACAGCTTTTTTTATTTTATTTGTTTATCTTTTTTTAAAGAGACCTTGACCTTGGTGGAATAGGATCTGCACTCTCACATCTTAGACTTTTAACTTCTTATACTGTCCTCTTCATTTCCCCAGTTGGATAGCCAGTTGACATTTCAGGTCAGGAAGACCAAATTTATTACCTGTTTTTAGTAAAGATGATGTCTATGATCACAGTTAGGTTAGCTGACTGGAGAGAAATTAAAACATCAAGCTTTAGTGCAGGGGTGTTTTTTAGGGCAGAGTGCCGTAAACGCTCGCAGTCTTGACTTGTAGGATGCTGGTACACCAGGGATAGACAGCAGGGGAGCCATGAGGGGGCCCAATCCTTCTGGCAGTGCAGCCCCAGCCCCTTCCCCACCATCTGCCCCCAGGTGCGTGCCAAGCAAAATGCCTTCATGTGCCACATGCTGGCACCCGTGCCGGGGATTGCCTAACCCCTGCTTTAGTGTATGATTCTTTCTTGTCTGTGCTGCCACTTCAATTTAGTCTCTTTAGCTCTTGGTACAGTAGAAGTAATTCATGGAAGTGATTATTTTTTACCTGTGTAAGCAGTTTAAGGCTGTCTTAGGTAGAAGACCAAGTGATGTTTGCTTTCCAGGGCATGTTTATTGGAGGGTATCAATAGGTTTACAAACTCTAAAGTTGTAAAGTTTGCAACTGAGGTTGTAAAGTTTAATGTATTAAACTCAGTTTAATTACTCCTTCCCTCTTAATTTGTGAGAACTTGGTAGCTTATGGTGCATTCAAATGTTACATTTTGACCAGGAGAATTGCTGTTCTCCCAGTAGAAATAACAAGTGTACAAGTGTTTGTTCAATTTTCCTTTGGGGCAGTGGGGGGGACACAGCATATCCCTTCTGGAAGATCTCCCTTACAAGAGAGTTTGTCTCGCAAGAATGAATATTTGTATGCTCTTTTCTTCTCAGGGACTGGTCTGAAAGTAGTGGGGGAGCAGGGGGCAATGCTCCCCACCTCTTCTCCAGACTAGGGTATGCATGGGGTGGCAGGTACAGCCTTTGAAGTGCCCTGCAGAGGAAGAAGCACCCCCTACAGGGCACTTTAAGCTCTACTACTCCAGTGCCCCCAGGAATGGGAGGGGTTGGAACACCGTTTGCTTCCCACATAAATCCTTGGTCACGGTAAGGCAGGGAGAACACAGGCTGAATGTCTATGCTGATCACTGTCCTGGAAAAATTTCTGAGAAATTTCCAGTGCCAAAAATTAACAGCTATACACCACTCTAAGTCTCATGACCTTCACTGGCGTCTGGAACTTGTAGACAAGTGAAAATGTAGAAAAGTGTTCCTACAAGCTACGAAACACTACTAGAGGGCAGCACTTCCTTCTGGTAGATGGTGACAGACCTTTTAATCATTTGAATGGTCCAGCTCCTTTAGCAGGAGCCTCCATAAGGACTAAGTTTGAAAAAAGCAGTTTCCTGTTTGAAAAGTAAACCAAGACTTAATACATGGTTTTCTAAAGATTTTAGTAGTATATAAAAACTTATGACTAACGAGAATACTGACTTAAATTGTTAAATGCATGCAAAGGCTGGGAGAGGTTCCGGAAGATTTGAAGAGGGCCAATGTGGTGCCGATTGTCAAGAAAGGAAGGAAGATCGAGGGAGCTACAGGTCAATCTGTTTGACATCAGTCCCTGGAAAGATCTTGGAAAAAATCATCAAAGAAACCAACAACAGGCTAATGGAAGGCTACTTTCTGAGAGTGAGCCAACATGGCTTTGTTGCAGGTAGGTCTTGCCTGACTAACCTCATTTCCTTCTATGACTAGGTGATGCATCACCTGGACAAAGGAGGAAGAGGTTGATGTCATATTTAGATTTCGAAAAAGCTTTTGACATGGTCTCCCATGATGTCCTCATGGTAAAATTGGGGAACTGTGGCCTTGACAACCTTATGGACCGATGGCTGTGAAACTGGTTCCATGGTTGGACCCAGGAAGTGATAGTTGATGGAACTGAGTCAACATGGTGCATGGTGACGGGTGGCAACCCCCAGAGCTCAGTACTCGGACCGCTACTCTTTAATATTCATAAATTATCTGGATTTGGATGCCAGAAGTGGACTGGCTAAATTCACAGACAACAAATTATGGGGAAGTGCGGTCATGCTAGAGGATAGGATGGTGATTCAGTCTGACCTAGACAGGCTTGCAAGGCAGGTGGAGGATCAGAACCTGATGACATTCAACACAGAAACATGCATGTCACTAGCACCATGGCCAAAAGAGACTTGGGGATCATGATTGACCACAAAATGAACATGAGCCACCAATGCAATGCCGCAGCCAGCGAAGCAAATAACATTCTAGCTTGCATCTACTAATACATCTCAAGCAAGACTGAAGAAATCATCCTCCCGCTTTACTAGGCCTTGGTGAGGCTGCAGTTGGAGTACTGCATCCAATTCTGGGCTCCACACTTTAGACAGGATGTGAAGAAGCTTGAGAGAGTCCAGAGGAGAGCTACGCACATGATTAGAGGTCAAGAGAACATGCCTTATGATGAGAGGCATGTGACTTCAGCCTGGAGAAGCAGAGGCTCAGGGGTTACTTGGTGGCAACCTATAAGTACTAAGGCAGGGGTGGGCCAAATGCAGCCTGTGGAGCCCCTAAGAAATTTAGAAAATTAATATTTATCTGTCCCTGGCTGCCTGTCATGTGGCCCTCCATGGCTTACCAAAACTCACTAAGTGGCCCTCTGCCCAAAATAATTGCCACCCCTGGCATAAGGGGTGTGCATCAGGAACTGGGAGAACATCTGTTCACCAGGGCACCCCAAGGGAAGATGAGGTCTAACAGTCTCAACTGCTGGAAGAGTGTTTTAGACTGGACATAAGGAAAAACTTCTTTACCATCCAAGTCTCCAGAGTCTGTAATAGACTCCCCCAGAAGTAGTGCAAGCGCCTACTCTTCATACCTTTAAGAAATGCTTGGATGCTTATCTTGCTGGGGTGATCTGATCCCAGCTAACTTACTGCCCCTTGGGCAGGGGCTGGACCTGATGATCTCACGAGGTCCCTTCCAGCCCTAATGTCTATGAATCTATTAAACAATGCATTTCTAGACTTAGGATGCATTTATTAGGGTTTGGAAGTAAATTAAAAGCAAATAGCTAACTGGTTTCTGTTTGAAAGAGCAATAAGATAATCATTAACTAATGATTAAAATGTTTTCTGTTAGACATGGTGTGGGGCCAGTTATAATGAAGCTTGGGTTCATGCAATTAAAAAGTACAGCCCTTGCATTCCCTTTCTTGGATTTGTTGCTGTATATAATGAAACTTCCTTGCATTGTGAAGTTGAGCTGTATCTGATTGCCACCATCCAGTGAACCAAGTATAGGGAATAGCAAATTTAAAGTGTGTGCTTACAACTATCGCAGCATGTAGGACTGGTTGAATGAAAATAAAGCTCTATTTGGTGTTCAGGCTTATTTTAGGGTAATATATTTGCTAAGCTTTGGATTGGGACACTATGATCAGGGGACAGCAGGGCAGGCCCTATGAGGAGAGGCTACGGGACCTGAACCTGTTCAGCCTCCAAAAGAGAAGGCTGAGGGGGGATCTTGTGGC